TGACATAGACAAAGTGAAACAACATATACACGACTACATTCAATCGCAAGCACAGCCCATTTCAATAGAAACCATACAAGAACAACTTTCTCTAGTCATAGGAAAATTTAGCCCGGAAATAAAAAATGTTTTCTACCAACACACCCTACCCAAATTCATACTGAGACTCATAAAGCATAAGAGAGAGCTGTACAGGCTATATACATACACTCAAAATAATGACTTAAAAAAGACACTGAACCAACTCAACAGAAGCATTAAAACTTTGATTGGACAACACCGACAAGACAAATGGCTAGAAACATGTAAGGAAATACAAAAGGACAAAGGCAAAACATACTGGCAAAAAATTAAGAAACTAGCGCAATACGAAAAAACTAACACTACTGACACAATTGACGAAAACGGAACAGAACGTTACAGAAACAAAGAGAAGGCTGATGCATTCGCCGGACACTATCAAAAGGCCTTCAGCATATCGACAAACCCTAACTTCGACAATGACAACTGGAACATTATCAATGACTGGTACTTGAACTACTTTAACAACTCACCAAACTATACTTACAAACTAACACAGACACAGAGTACGATGAAGCCCTATCACATATCAAAAACACAGCACCGGGAAAAGACAAAATAAAGGCAAAATTCCTGAAAAGCTTAACCGAAGAAACCCACAAACTCATCCTTACTCAAATCAACAACTGCATCAGAAATAACAAAATTCCGAAAACATGGAAAAGTGGTGTAATAATTCCTATACCTAAAAATGGACGAGACGGTACACAAATGGAAAACTACAGACCTATCAAATTACTCCCGGTGCTGTGCAAAGTCTTGGAACACATACTAAAACAGAGACTCGAAGAACTGATCGGAAAACATATACCAACCTACCAATTTGGCTTCAAACAATATTACTCGACTATTCATCCGCTATTTATTTTGACCAACAACATACAAACAACTCACCTAACTGACGGAAAGTCGGCATGTCTACTCATGGACATCAACAAGGCTTTTGATAGTGTCTGGCATAGGGGCTTGCTATACAAACTAGAGAGAAGAGAAACTCCACACACCACCATATCTACTACACACCATAAAGAACTTATTAGAAAATAGACAACTACAAGTACGAATTGACAACACACTCTCCTTTTCTTTTTCCCCTGAACAAGGGCTCCCTCAAGGATCCCCCCTCTCACCCTTTCTCTACAG